CTGAAAAGACATTGAGAGGAAAGCACCTCACAGCAGACCTATGTAGACGTTGGCCCATCACCCTACATGACACTATTTTGTTTCTCATCCTCAGGTCTTCAGGGGACTCCAGAAGCAGAGGGCTTCTTTGTGGCTGCCATCCGTTTCCTGGCAGATGCTTACGTTGCCCAAAAGGGTCCTGACGGGGAAGGCATGATCCTGAGCGTGGCCCCTGCTTATAAGGCAGCCTGGCCAGTTGTCCGCGAGCTGTGGTTCCTGAGCATGCAGGCCTTTGCCAGCTGTGTGCCTCTCTTCCTTTGGCTGCCCCAGGATGTCCTGCGCTCTGGCTGGCTTCAGGAGCTCCTGGCCACACTGGGGCGGGTGTCTCCGAAGTCGGTGGAATTGGAAGTGGTCCGAGCTTACCAGGGCATCTTGGTGGAGCTGGCCCGAGCCAGTCAACCATGTTTGGAGATGATCCAACAGCACCGGGGTTTGGAGCTGGCCAACCTCTATGGCATGGCAGCCCTGGAGCAATGCCTCTCTGAGCAGTGATCAGGCTCAGGCGTGTGTGGTGGTAGGAGAAAAAAAGTGTTTTCCCTGAAGCAGTTTGATCATTCTGTTTCATGCAGATGGATGTTCTCTCATCAGTAGGACATGAGATATGGCAGGCCTCTCCCCAGATGGCTGCGCAAAGTTATAAAACACGACGTGATTACGATTATTTATTTATTTACCTATTTATTTATTTGTTTTGTTTTTTATTTTTGTGCTGCCTCTCAGAGCAGAAAAGCCCCTTCAAGGCAGCGCACAGAAACAAGGTACAATCAGTTTTAAAAATTAAAAAGAGCAGCATAGGACAAACCTGAGACCAAACATCTGGAAAAATTGTCCTATTTAAAAAGCTATAATAAGCTGTGGCAGGTGAGAAAATTTGTTCCAACATCATTAATTAACATGTTGAAATGAAAAGGGCTCCAAGGCCCATTTTAAAAAAATAGTCAAAGAGGGGGGCCAAGAGTATGTTTGTGGCTGGGAGTTCCACAAAGACGGGACCACCACTAAAAAGTCCAATGATGTTGTCTAACTGCATGTTTCCTAGCTCTCTGTGATATCGTAGAGTAACATGAAGCAAAAGTCTTTACCTGCTGGCAGTAACACAATCGCACAATGTATGCCAATGCACGTTAGTGCTGCTCGGTTGACTCTAATGCACTGTGAAGAAAGCTAGTTTTGCTCTGGAGAGAAAGCAAATAGGTGTGGAAGGAACTCTGGTAGTATCCTAGTGCAAGAAGGGGAGGGATATTTATCTACTTATAGCGACTGTACCCAAAGTGTCCTTTGTTAACCTTCATCAGGCTTCTGGGTAAATCTTGCCTTTACCATCAAAGGGCACAATGGGTAGATCTCAGGCCATCCAATCATTGATTGCCTCAGGACTCTAACATTGTTAAAGCTCTTTTCTTGAGGATGCCAAGATGTTTTTCTCTTATACATTTAATTCTAATGATTTATAAACAACCTTTTAAGGATTCAAATTCTTCCAAGGCAGCTTATAGTTAAAACTCAGACTACCAAAAACAGTTTAACAAGGCAACAGCACCCTTCTCACAGGGGAACTGGTGTCAAGTTTGCACGTTTTGGTTTGGGTCGTTTATGAAACAAACTTATATCCCACTTTTCAAGCCAAAAAAAAAAATAATCCACCCAAGTGGCCTACAATTTTTTAAAATATATATTTAAAAAGGAGCAAACTATTTAAATACAAGTAAAACCAATCCAAAATGTAGTGTGTGGAGGGGAAGGACAGTCCAGCCGGAAGAGGCACAAAGATCTGGCCTTTCTCCCCGACTGGCCTGCTCCTTCCAATGGGACTGCTAGTAGTAGTTGGCCCTGTGCAGGAAGGGTACAAGACATCGTAACAAGAAGTGGATGAATGGATTCCCTTTGAATCCGCTGCTGTTCATGGAAGAGAAGTTTTCCTGGGCCAAATAGTTAAAAAGTGGGATCTAAACTCTCCGGACTGTGAACGCTTGCTTGTTTTGGCTTCTCTGTATTGTTCAGCATGGAGGCTCCTTGCATGCAGCCAGTAAATATTATGTTCCTGAGTCTGGGGCAGGATCAGCCTTTGGAGCTCCGGCCTTGGCTCATTCTCCTGGTGTTTTCAGTTCAGTAAATAAAAGTGTTTTGTCTTGTAATCAAGGCCTGGTTGTGTTGATGCACACATCTTGTTCACCACTCAGACCCTCCAATTGGAGCAACCACTTTGAGAAGGGTAGCCTTATAGTACAGCAGTGTACATGATGTTTTACAAATAAAACAAAAAACGGAAGGACAGAGTAATGCAAATACAGTGGTACACTTGATATCTGCTGGGGTTTGCTTACAGCAATGATTCTCGAACTCTGGTCCTCCAGCTATTTTGGACTTCAGCTCCCAGAAGCCTCAGCCATCTTAACCAATAGTCCAAAATGCCTGGAAGGCCAGAGTTTGAGGATCCTTTGTGGATACCAAAATCAGTGGATGCTGAAGTACCATTAAATGCAATGGCATAGTGAAATTTTACCCCTTATATAAAATGGCAGAATCAAGGTTTGCTTTTTGGATTTTTTTTTTGAATATTTTTCAAGCCATAGACGTTTGAATCTGTAAACAAAGAATCTGTTGATATGGAGGGCTGAATATATAAACTATACAGTACAATTGCAAAATATCCAAATACCAAAAGACAATACAGTATAAATAATGCAAAGGGACAAATGCATACCATCAAAATATATAAGATATAAAACAATATCAAACTAAAACTCCAAAAGCTTTGGGCGGGGAGGAAGGACAGTTTTAAATAGGGGTTTAAAAACAGAAGGCGCAATCTGCAAATGTTCAGGGAGGCAATTCCATGAGTGAGAAAGGACAAAGCTGAGCCAAGGAAGAGGAAACCCGCCTTGGGTGAATGAGAAGCCTAGCATTTGTAGAACACAGACTGCTGAGAGATGAAAGAAGCTAGGACACGTAGGGCTTTAAAAGTTGAAGTGAGAAGCTTGTGAATCCTAGAAGGCGTTGGCCTTGTTTGTCTATTGCAGAACAAAAACAAAAAAAAACAAGGTTGCTTCTGGCACTTTAAAGAGCTGCCAATTTTATTTGGCATCGGCTTTGGTGGACTGCGGCCCACTTCATCAGATGCACAGCGTGTTTATTGGACTGCGGCCCGCTTTGTCTGATGCACAGGCTGCAATGTAGAGATGCTGGTTGGCAGATACTTATCCGCATGCTGGGAGGAAAGGGAATGGTGTGTAGGAATGGAAAAGCACAAGGTGCCAGCGGATGACCCATTTTAACAGCCACAGGGAGGTAGCAAGGTTATCCTGGCATAAGTGAGATAAAGGAATAAATAGCCTTAATCTAGCCCATGTATGAAAAGGTAAGAGTTTAACCCCTCAGCAGGACCTCGGAATAAGTACTCAATTATTTTTTAACACTGTTCAGAAATCTTAGGTGGTGGTATAGGCAGACTAGTATGAGTTAGCTGCTTAATAGATGCAGTATAACATATTTCACTGCATAGCTAAGCGACTCCTCTGTGCAGATTAAAGGGCTGCTGTTAAAATCATCACTTGCTGGCAAATTTTGCCAGTTTCCATCCTCTTTGCCAATATACAGATGCCACAGGCATGTATCTGCCAACAAGGCAGCCCTCCATGCATCCAGTGATAAAGACTGCAGTGCATGAAAAGCTTGTGCCAAATAAAAACTCTTCCAGCTGCCACCTGAGTTCTTTGTTTCCACTTGAAGCAAGGATAATACAGTCGGCCCTCCACTGGGGTTAGAGGCACAGGCTCCCGTGAAAGTGGAAAAAACCACAAATAAACTTTCTTTTTTTACCTGAGAGAACTTCTCTAGGAATCTCTAGGTCCTCCAGTCCAACTCTGTGGTCAGCATCTGCTGGAAGTTGACCATAGAATTGTGCAGGAGGACATACAAATGCCTAGAAAAGGTCTTCCAGTGCAACTTCTGTGGAATGTTGGCCATAGAGTTGCACTGTGGATAATCAAAGTGTAAAGGGCCAGCTACTTTCTACAACGGATCCTTCACTCATTCTCACAGTATCACTGGGTTCGGTGCAACTAAAGTCTGGGAAGTATAGACCAGCCAGCCCAAACTGAGGCACCAGAAGGAATATAAAAATCCTAAATGAAAATGAAAATTTCCATCTCGATATTCTGTTCCTAGATATCCCCTTAAACCAGATGCTAGTATACTGAGGGCCATGTGCCATAGGCACTCTTGAACCTCACAACTGTGGTCCCTGAAACCTCCACCACCACCATTTGCCATTTTATTAAAAAAATTGGGGTTTTGTGCAATTTATGCCCCTCAAATCACTCTGCTCCCAAGCACAGGGAAATGCATAAATAAACATTCAAGTACCTAGAACCCAATATTCACACACACACACACAAAATACCTGTGTCTTGCTCTGCAGTCCTAGCTAAATGTGGCCCCGGGATGTGATGTGCTGTTAAACACTTAAATCGGGGCAGGAAAGCCCCAGGGTTTCCAATGATCCTTGGAGAGTTTCCGGTTGAAGCCAACAGGCACACATAATGTGCTGGTCCCTGGCACATGGGAAGGTCCACCACATCAGAGACCTTATGAAGAAGCCTTGTGCACTGGACCAGTTGGTCATGGAAGAAACCAGAGGGGAAGCTACCCTGGATTTCATCCAATCTATGGACCCAGGACCTAAGGTGAGATGTGTTCTGGAGCAAGGTGCAATACCTCAACAGTGGCTGTTAATGCCTTATGGAAATGACAAGTTGTGGAGGTCCAACACAACCACTTTTGACAACAAAAGAAGAAAAGAATACAAAGACCAGAGGGACTGGGTGAAAGGGAAGAGTGCAGCTAAGGCTAAGGAAAATGGCAATTAAGGATGCAACAGGTAGCTTACATTATTAATCTCTGAGTATACAAGGCAGCAGATGAATCCATATTGTGTTTTACAGGAGTTACTCTGGGTTTGAGCCAGTGTGGCATAGTGGTTTGCGCATTGAAATAGGACTCTGGAGACCAGGGTTTGATTCTCTGCTCGGACATGGAAAACCACTGGATGACCTGGACAAGTCACGCTCTCTCAGCCTCCAGAGGAAGGTAATGGCAAACCCTGAACAAACCTTGCCAAGAAAACCCCATGTTAGGGTTGCTATAAGTCAAAAAGGACTTGAAGGCACGCACACACACAAACACACAATTTTAATAGGATCTATCCAAGGTCCTGAATTCTATTCTCAAACTAGGTTCAGCACTCTGGATAGTTCCTGCAAAACCCAGCAAGGCATCACCACTTTGAGGCAGCAAAGGCCCAAAACACACAGCAGAAATAATCCAGTTTGAGACCGCTTTAACTGCCCCGGGTCAATGCTGGGGAATTCTGGGAACTGTAGTTTTGTGAGACATTGAACCATCTCTGTCAGAGCTCTGATGCCACAATTCCCAGGATTCCCTAGCACTGCGCCAGGGCAGTTAAAACGGTCTCAAACTGGATTATTTCTGCAGTGTGTTTTGGGGCATAGATACTTATTACTTCTGCAAAGGAGCTAAGAATATTTTTTTAACTCTCTGTCCCGTAATACCAGAACTACAAGTCCAATACATCTGAAGGATGGGTCCTTGTGGTCTTATTTTGGACAGACAGAAAGGCAAACTTTCAGATCTGAAACTTGGTATAGATTCTCAGAGAACCCTCAGGCCAATTTGATTTTTT